TCCACTTCCTGCGTGGCGCTAGAGACGTCGGGCAGTTCCTTGGGACCCGTCAACGTCCACAAAGGACATGTATTCTTTTTTTTCTCAATGTGTATTTCTTTTTGAGAGAGACAGAGACAGAACGCGAGTGGGGAGGGGCAGAGAGAGAGGGAGACACAGAATCCGACGCAGGCTCCAGGCTCTGAGCTGTCAGCACAGAGCCCGACGCGGGGCTCGAATTCACTGACCAGGAGATCGTGACCTGAGCTGAAGCCGGTTGCCTAACAGACTGAGCCACCCAGGCACCCCAATGACTTTCACTTTGAATGATGATGATGAACTTCCTGGTTTAAGGACGAAACTCGCCTTGCTGACGATTCTTCCAAGGGGACCTCCAATCCCGTGAACCGCGGCAGGAGCTGGTGAACCTCCTCTCCCGCACGGTGTGGACGCCCCTCCCCTCAGAGATGGCCGTGGAGCTGAGAACACAGAGTTTCACGCGGAGGCGCGGGGTTTCTGCTTGGGACTGTGCAGCACGTTCGTGCATCCCGTGATGACGGAAATACCATGACTCTGACAGGAGAATTCAAGATAAAACGTGCAGTTGGGGGTAATGTGCATTTTTTTAACAGAATCCAAGAAGTGCCAGAAGTGATTTTAAATATTTTCCATGAACAGAAAAGATGATTCGGTTTGTATACCAGAAGTTTCTCTGGCCTTGAGCTTAGGCAGATGTCCTCATCCTGGAGAGTTCCCCACAGGGGGCAGGGTCCCCAGTCCAGGGGAGGCTACCACGGGAGACAGTCGGGACCCCCAGCAGGGGAGGCACAGGGAAGGCCACCACGGGGGACAGTCAGGGGCCCCATCCCTGAGGAGGCCACCATGGGGGGCAGTCAGGACCCCAGCCCAGGAGAGACTACCTTGGGGGACAGTCAGGGCCCCCAGTCCAAGGGAGGCCACCACGGGGGGCAGTCAGGTTCCCTGGAAGGCTCTCACACAGCACAAACGGGACATTCCACCCAGGGGTAGTTAGCACAAAGCTTAAACCCAGCATCACCGAGACTCCTAAGTGGCTACTGACCCAGTGATTCCCAGACTACATCTCTGCTAAGGAGCACCTATTTCGATGCTGAGGAGAACCATTTCGATGCAGGGTCCAGTAAAACAAATCGTACGCTCAAGAACAAACAGGACCCTACGAAGAAGACAGCCAGGGCGGCCAAGGTGGGGGCGCACCCCGACGGTCTAGGTCCCGGGCCACAGCCAGGCCTCCCCTCTGACAGGCAGAGTGCGGAGGAAAGCCTTCCCCCTGCCCCCCGGGCTATCAAAGTCGCTGCCTTCTCAGGAATGCACCCCGTGGGCAGACGTTCATCTGTGATGATAAATCACCTCGTTCTCCGTGACGAGAAGATGCATGTATGGGAGGAGGGGGAGGCCTGCCAGCCCGCGTTAGCACATAGCTGTGCTGTGAGAACTGGAGCTGGGCCAGCTCTCACACCAGCGGGACAGAGTCATAAATACCTTAGCGCCACCCCGTCCCCCCGAGTCCCCTCCAGCACAGTGACAATAGCAGCAAAGGCACTGCTTTGAGCACCGAGCACCGTACAGAGGGAGCCTCCAGGACGCCTCCTCTGGCTACAGGGAGGAACAGGCCAGGCCAATGAACCCCTGACCCCATCGTGTGTGCATGAGCACTTACTGAGCACCTTCTGTGTGCCCGGTGCTGTGGCCATCCAGTGCCGAGCAGGGAGCGGATGCAGGGAATGGGGACGAGAGGAAGGGACACGTGTGGAGGCAGGGAGGTGACATCCAGGAAGACCTGGGGGAACCTGCACTCATCACGCAGTCGGTGGCTCTGCGCTCCCGCAGACACGCTGGCGGGACTGCTGTCTGTGTGGGGCCGTCCTCGGCGCATGTGGGCAGCACGTGTGGCCTCCACCCCCCGATCCCACCCCCTGCTGTCCCCGGGGGCAGAATCACCCCGGTTAGAACGGCCGGGCCAGATACTGTGCTGCTCTGCACCTCGTCTCTCCGCTTACAGACGGGGCCATGTTGCTGATGTGGGGACTGGGGTAACACATGTGGAATCATCTAGAACAGCACAGCGCACCGAAGGCTAGTGAATATTAGCCCTAAGTTACCGTTGTCCTGAGAGGCAGGGAAATGAGGGGATCACACCCAAGGTGAGAGCAGAGCAACCAACACATAAACACAGCACCGAGGAAGTCGGGAAACCTTCCAGAACCTTCCAGAGCAGGGGACGGCGCTGAGGCGGATTCTGAGGGAGGTGATGGCAGCAGGCAACAGGTGCAGAAGCGAGGATTAGGAAGAAGGGGACGGCGACCTTTGGGGGGGTTTAGCCAAAACCAAACCCCGCTGTTTACGACCCGAGACACCGAGGGTCTGCCGAGTTCTAGAGGAAATCAGGACGGCGACCATGACGCCTTCAGCCATAATGTCCTGCTGCTCTCAGAGTGGGGTCACTTGCGGACCCCGACTACCGCCCCAGCGCACAGCCCTCCATCGCTGGGGCCTCGGTCCTTCTCTCAGGCCAGCATGGATTTAAAAAAAACACAGGATTGCTGCTGGCGGTGTTTTCTCCAGCACCAAATTCAGAGAGCTTCGCCTCAGATTAACTGACACCTTCCTTCACCCAGCCCGTCTCCTGTCCATCGGCAGCACAGGAAGCCGGGGTCCTCCGGGGGCCTTGGGCCGCTTCCAACTTCCCCACGGCGGCCTGGGCTCGGCTTACCCAGGAGCAAGTAACAAAACCCCCTCGACGACAAGGCAGCCTTCAGCACCAGCAAATGAACGCAATTACCTCCCGCAAGAGGAGGGGGGCTTCAAAGGGAGAAAGGGAGAGACGGAGGAAGGGGGACTGAGTCCAAACAATCAGTCTGGGCCTGTCTTATCTCCGAGGGAAACACAGATGATGACTTCAGGGCCAGAGACACTCAGATGAGTCCCACGCCAATCACGGCCTCTCAGCGGATCTTCTGACACGCGGGGCCGTTTCCGGTCATTATTTCTCTAGCAATGACTCCCGTGATGAAAACGAAATCTAAGAACTTTGGAAGTCCCTTCCATGTAGCAGGTCGATCCCTCTTCAGAGAGAATCCACGGGTCCCTAGCAGCCACGGTTTACCCAGCCCAGACATGGCCCTGGGCTTACGTCCGGGACTTCTGGAACCCAGGCCTGCTGCTGTGGCCCCTGAGGCGAAGCTGGTCTCCCCGCTCACCTTAGACCCCATCCTAGGCCTCCATCAGAGCGCAGAGGGTGCCTGAGGGACTGTCCCCTGCCAGGTCCCCACTGCCACGTGTCTTGATCAGTGAAAGGGCCAGTCACGCAGACAACCCAAGGTGCCCCACCCGACTGGGCAGGGGCAGGTCTGATGTGTGCAGTGGCCGGGCATACAGTAGGCACTCCATTAATACTCGGGGGGCAAGGGAGTAATTGAACGCCAGCTGAGTCCCTAGAGCACACCAGCCCTTTCCCAGGGTCAAGAGCCACAGCATCACCGCTTGAAGTCACGGGCGGAAGCACTCCCCGTCTAGGCCACGGGCAAGGGAGGGGGGAGGGGACAGCAGCTCACGGGGGAGGCCTCCCCGTCACCAGCGCTGGCACATCTGGTCAGCCGCTTCAGGAGAAGTCGAGAGCCCAGCTCGTCACGGTGATCGGGGAAGGAGAGGTCGGGGCACACCGGGACCGTGTGGTGAGCGCCCACTACAATCCAGGGCAGGGAGGAGCGGGGGAGAGGGGAGCCTGGTCCAGGCCTGTGGGCACAGCCAGAGCCCCGACAACGTAGGCAGGAACTGCGGGGGCAGGGGTCTCCTGAGCCTCCCGTCCGGGCCCACCACCATGCCCCAGTGTAGCCAGGAATCCAGGGTTAACACTCCGAGCCAGCGGGGCAGACCCTGCTGGAGCCCCACAAAACAGACGGACAGCCAGCCAGCCACAAAGAGGCATGGGGAGGAGGGGAGGACACAGGGCAGGCGGTCAGGTGCCTTTCTTGCCACGCCGTACTCCGGATCATAACCAGGCTGGGGCTCAGACACGGTAAACCCCCACCTCCTCGGGCTGCCAAACGGCCTCTCTCTGGCGCGTTTCCTCCTCTTCTGACTCAGAGCGCCAGGCACGGCCGTCTTCCTCCCACTGTGCCCCCCACCCCGGGTTTACTCTTCCTGCTTAACACACACCGGCTAATGCCGTAAACCCCTGTGCTAAGCTCCATAAACGGTGCCACGTCCCACACAAGCAGATAATGATTTTTCGGCTGTTTATACTAAACAGGATAACCGGGGCCACAGTCCCTACTGGAATCGCAAAGCTACGTCCGGCATGAATGAGGTCCCACCTAATCCTAGACGGCTTCCCCAAAACGCCAGACCGCTCTCAGGCCACCGGAAACTTTTCAAATGGGCTGTGATCTTAGGCAACACGCGATCGAAGGCCAAGGCCAGGACGTGCACATCGTGCTGCTCTGACTACCTATTTCTAAACACCCACCGCCGGCTGCCTGGGGAGCAATTCGTCTTCGCGACGAGTCAGGACGTCTCAGGGCAAGTGTGCGTTCAAGGAGGAGGAGACGTAACCTCTACAGCGACCACCGGGCGTGAAACACCAACACCGGCGCTCCAGACCCGCGTGATCAGCGGCTCGTGATCTCCATCCCAGTCACACTGTTTACAGTAGCCAATTAAACCCGAAGCCCGGAATGAAGTGCCTCCAACCTGAAGCCGCCTAAGGAAGCGCGTGTCATCTCCCGCACATGGGTTTTCAGGTGGCCCTCACGCCGTCATCGCTCTCGGAGAGAGGGCGACTCCAGTCACACGCGGTCAACAGGGACCTGCAAGGGCTCGTCAGGAAGCCTGCCTCCCGCCCGCCCGCCGGCTAAGGACATGCGGCTCCCGGCGTCACCACCAAGGCCACGGACTGGCGCCGGGCAGGGGAGTGGACCGAGGGAGCCAGCGAGGGACCCCCCGCGTGCGACCCCGCCCGGGGCCCGGGGAGCGACACGTACCTGTGAAATCCTGCAGACACTCGCAGGTGTAACCGCCCTCGCGGCTGCGACAGCGGCCGTGGGTGCCGCAGGGGCTGGAGTAGCACAGGTCGATCTCCGTCTCGCAGGAGTCGCCCGTGAAGCCGGGCGGGCAGCGGCAGCGCAGCCCGTTGATGGGGTGGATGGGCCGGAAGAGCACGGTGGTGGAGCTGATGAAGGGCGCCGAGCTGTCGAACTTGAGCACGGACACGCATTTCATGTAGTTCTCGCAGGGCTCCCGCAGGCAGATGTTGTCGTCGAAGGGCAGCACGCGCTGGGCGGACACGGCCGTCAGCAGCGTGCGGTTCAGGTAGATCTGCTCCTGCAGGTCCTCCGACGGGAAGAACTTGTCCCGGACGCCGCCGGGGAGCAAGGCCGAGAAGGTCACGTTCAGGATGTTGGAGCTGACGTCCGTGTCGTTCTGGATGTTGAAGACGAAGACGTCGTCCTTGGTGGTAGACAGCACCGTGGCCACGCCCTCCACGAAGAGGGACAGCAGCGGGGAGAGGAACTTCTCCTGCGACATGTTCTCCAGGCGGACGGTGATGCTGTTGGTCAGCATATCGTCCGTGATGATGGTGACCCGCAGGGTGCAGAGCGCGACGACACTGTGGATGCCATCTGTGGACACAAGGAGGGTCGGGGTCACTCGGGGTCCGGGTCCCCGCCAGCCCCACCCGGGCACGGCCGGCCGAAGCGAGCCCCACGCCCCGCCCCCACCGCGACCGCCGCCTTGACCCCTGCCTTCCGGGCCCCCCATTCCTCTCCCTCCACACCCGGCTTCCCAAAGCACAGCTCCTGTTGAGTCTGTCTTGCTCGAAAGAACCCTGCGGACCCCCAACCACTCAGCAGGACATCCCAGGGCCACCGCCACCTGGGTCCCCCGCCTCGCACGCTCTGCTCCAGACACGTGGGGCCACTGAGCCCCCTTCTACCACCTCTGCACCCGTCTCAGACCCCGGGAGCCCCCACTCCCATCCCACCCGCCCACAGCCCAGCCCAGACCCCATGGCGTCCAGGATGCTGCTGTCCAGGTACGGCCTTGCTCCACGCCATGTTGAAGGGTTTTCTGTGCTGAGCTGCACCCTATTCATCCCTACGTGCCCAGCACACGGCGGATGCTCGGCAAATGCTGCTTTACAAAGACACGTACAAGACAGGGCTGCACCTCACCCGACAAGGGTCAGCCAACCATGAAACCAGCTACTTAGGATTTTGCGAGATGGGAAAGGGATGGGCCGTTCTAAGCCCAGAATCAGGGGAGTCACCCAAGGGCTGGCCCCAGGGGCTCTCCCCAGGGTGGTTGTGGGGTGGGACCATCGGCCTTCCCGGCACCCTGACAGGTGCAAGCACCCCCACCCAGGGGGTTTTCACCTGCCTCCCAGGCCCTGCCTCAAATGTGCTATGGGACCCTGAGAAAAACCCAGCAAAGTTCATATCCCTCTGGCTCAGCTCAGATTCTGGGTCCCTGTACCTGTGCCCCCAACGAGCACACCCCCATGGGGCACAGGGCCATCTGTGCAGGCCAGTGAGCCCCTGCCAGGCAAGAACCCTCTCCCACCCTCTCGCAGCCCACGCCTGACGGGCCTCCCCCGCCGAGGGGCAGGAGCCATGGTGGGGAGCCCTGCCCCGCTTGTTTCCAGGAAGCCGGGACCAGAGAGGGCAGGTCAAATGACACAATCTGGAGGCCACCTTGTCGCCGTGGCCCCAGCACAGTCCCCACGGAGGCACAAAGCCTAAAACCACGGGGCACAGAGGCATTCGAGGCTTCTGCACACTGGGCCTGTTTTCCTCGGGCCCTTGGGAGCCACAAGCCACTCTGGGAGGGACCCCGAGTCACAAAACCTGTCCACACAAGAAAACGTAACTGCTCCCGAGGTCACAGTGCTCCCGGGTGCTCCCTCTGACGACCACAGCAAACCTGAGATCCTGAGAAAATGGGCATCGCCCCTGGAGGGGAGCCCGGTTCACCCCAGCGAGGGCACCGCTGCTCAGCAAGCTGGGCACGGAGTGCTGTCACTGCTCCGTCCAGTCCCCGTGAAAACCCAGCAGGGCCGAAGTTGACAGTGGAAAGGATGCTGGCATCACCTCGGGGTGGGGAGCCCATGAGGCAAGGGCTCATTCCGGCTACAGCTTCAACGGAGCACAAATGGACTGGAGTCAGTGGCCAGACGTGCCCGCCGGTCCCGTGCAAAGGGCCAGGGGCCAGAACAGTCAGGAGGAGTAAAGTAAGGCAAAAGAAAGTGGCAAAGCTCGTTGTGGCAGAGCACTGTCCTTTCTTCCCAACCCCACATGCAGGTCGGTTCCCCCCAAGAGGAGCATCTATTCCCCTCCCTGGAATGTGGTTTGGACCTGTAGCAGTCTGGGGTCCCCCTCCCACTGCGGTCATCCTACAATGCCCCCCTCATCATGCCACTCCCTCAGGGCTTCCAGAATAAAACACACACCTCTTACCCCATCTGGTGGTCCTCTGTGTCCCCATCCCCCTCCACCTGCCACCCCGCTCCCTCTTCTTGCCCCAGGGCCTTTGCACACCTTGTCTTTCGCCTAGAGCACCGCCCTCCTTGTTGGCTGGGGGCGGGGGTGCTTCCTCGGCCATCCAGGCCTCAGCTGAATGTCTCTTATCACAGGGGACCTCCAAGTCCCCCATCTATGCTCTGCCACCGCCCTACCTTCCCCACCCAGAAGTGGCATAACCTGATTTTTTGCGGTTTACATCTCTCCCTCCGTGAGCCCCTGAGGACTGAGACCCTGCAGGTCTTGACCCTGCTGCACCAGCTGCTGGCACTCAGAAGCTGCCAGATAAACATTCGTGGTCGGGGAGGGGGGGGGGGGGGACACAGGGAGGGAGGGGCAGGGAAGAAGGATGATTTCCAGTCTCACCTCTCAACCCCAAGACACATGTGCACAAACAGCATCCCATCGAAGCTATTTTTTTGGTGGGGTCTTCTTCTCTGTTTCCCTTTCTAGCTTTCCTCTCTCCTTCTTTCCTCCCTCCCTCCCTCCCTTCTCTTCCCTTCCTTCCTTCCTTCCCTCCCTTTCCACATGCCCACAATAATAATACAAGAGGGGCGCCTGGGTGGCGCAGTCGGTTAAGCGTCCGACTTCAGCCAGGTCACGATCTCGCGATCTCGCGGGATCTCGTGATCTCGCGGTCCGTGAGTTCGAGCCCCGCGTCGGGCTCTGGGCTGACGGCTCAGAGCCTGGAGCCTGTTTCCGATTCTGTGTCTCCCTCTCTCTCTGCCCCTCCCCCGTTCATGCTCTGTCTCTCTCCCAAAAATAAATAAACGTTGAAAAAAAAAATTTTTTTTTTAAAAATAATAATAATACAAGATACTGGGTATCGTTTGCTTACTTTCTGGTGGCACGTGTTACGAAAACATCCTTTTCATCTTAAACCACCCACCCGTGGGCAGCCAGGAGGGCACCGCGCTGAGGAATGCCCACGAACAGGGAGCCACGTTCCAAGAACAGACATCTCCACTCAGGGACAGAGTGGGAACGTGGCCAGAATATAGCATTAACTATTAACTAACGTCGCATGTGCTGGTAAACAAAACGTGTGCCTTATGTGGATCTCACGGTCAGCTTCTCTCAGACCAGGGATCCTCCTGGACACCCCCGGTTCTGGGAGACAACGGCCTTGCCTTGAACTTATGTCGTCTGGGCTGGATTCCTAGGCCGCCACAGGCACCTGACTGCCCATACATGGGGCCCATGGAGACCAAATGGGCTGTCCCAACCACAGGGACACTGCCTGCTAAACCACAGCGGTGACAGCGGGGCAGATCTGACAGCAGGATGCTGGGGGAAAAATTAGTTACTTTCTCACACAGGCCAAAAGAAGCTATTGTACATGAGCCCAGAGATCTATCGGGAAGGAGAGCAAAGTATCTGTGATGTTGACAGTGGTTCTGCCTGAGCCGCTGAATTTGTTTTAAACCAATTTTTATTTTGTTGTATTTTTAATTTTTTTTTCGATGTTTATTTTTTGAGAGAGACAGAGCATGAGCAGGGGAGGGGCAGAGAGAGAGGGAGACACAGAATCAGAAGCAGGTACCAGGCTCTGAGCTGTCAGCACAGAGCCCGACGTGGGGCTTGAACCCACAAACTGCAAGATCATGACCTGAGCCCAAGTCGGACGCTCAACTGACTAAGCCACTCAGGGGCCCCTATTTTACTTTTAAAGTTTATTTATTTATTTTGAGAGAGACAGGGAGAGAGTGCCTAGAGGAGGGGCGGGGGGTGGGGAGAGGGAGAGAGAGAGAGACAGAGAGAGAGAGAGAGAGAGAATATCCCATCCCAAGCTGGCTTCTGCACTGTCAGCTCAGAGCCCGACATGGGACTCAAACCCACGAACCGTGAGATCATGACCTGAGCTGAAATCGAGTCAGACGCTCCCGGGCACCCCTGGATTTTTATTTTAGAACGGTTTTAGATTTGCAGCAAAACTGAGGAGACAGTACAGAGTTCCCATACACTCGGCACTCAGTTTCCCCTATTACGGACTCTATTACATGAGTTCCTTAGTTTCACCTCCTGCCCTTTTCCTGGTCTAGGACCCCGTCCAGGCCCCCATCCAGGACCCCACACGACAGTTAGCTGTCACGTCTCCTTAGCTCCTCTGGGCTGGGACAGCTTCTCTGACTCCCCTTGCTTTGGACGACCCAGACACTTTTTTTTTTTTTAATTTTTTTAAAGTTTATTTATTATTGAGAGAGAGAGCATGAACAGGGGAGGGTCAGAGAGAGAGGGAGGCACAGAATCCAAAGCAGGTTCCAGGCTCTGAGCTGTCGGCACAGAGCCCGACGCGGGGCTTGAACCCATGAACCGCGAGATCATGACCTGAGCCCAAGTCGGACACTCAGCCGACTGAGCCCCCCAGGCGCCCCAACAACCCTGACCCTTTTGAGGGCTGAGAGGTCCTAGGAATGTCAGGTTGCTGATATCTGGTGACTTTTACTTTCCTCTCTATACTTCCCTGTATCTTTTTATTTCTCTGCACGCACATCCATCGGGTTTATCGTTCAAAAGCCCCTTTTTATTCCGGAAGGCACGGAGCTTGCCGGGGGCTCTCCCCAGCCTGTGCCGCAGGCATTTCTTCGGCGGCTGTGAACGACAGCTTCAAGCCAGGGTCGCGGCGCCCCCAGATCCGGCCAGTGCCAAACGCGAGTCGCCTCGCTGTCCCCGAGACACAGCAGGAGAGAGACAGAACAGATGGCCAGAAGGTGCCACGGCTGTGGGACGCTCACCGGCCGTGTTTCCCGCAAAGCCATCGGCAACGCGAGAGCCTCACGGGTCTCCATGGGGGTCCGGGCCTGTCCACCCCTCTGGCTTTGCTGGAGAGGTTCATCGTCCTCTACGATCACGTCCCTTGTGGCGGGCCCAGACGCTGCAGGGAGAGGTCACACCGCAGCCTTCAAGGAGCCGGGGGCCTACCAGGGACACGGGACGGAGCCGCGTTTGCGAGACTTGGTGCCAGGGCGCCCCCGGGAGGCGGCGGGGAGGTGGGTGTCCACGGAGGGACGGCAGTCGTCGCGCAGTTGGAGACGAAACAACTTCTTGGCACACGAAGCGAACAAGAGGCAAGGCCTGGCATGTCATTGGCAGAAGGGTGCGTCAGTGTCCTGGGTGTCGCAGGCTACGCGGCTTACACCGCACTTATCCTCGGTCTGGAGGCCAGAAGTCTGAGGTCGAGGTGTCACGGGCTGGTTGCACAGGGAGGCTCTGCAGGAGAGTCTCTCCCAGCGGCCGGGGGGC